GAGTGTGGGGGTGCGGTATGTACATAGTGCAGAGTTCAGTGGTGCGCTGCATACAGAGTGCAGAGTTTGGGGGTGCGGTATGTACATAGTGGAGAGTTCAGTGGTGCGCTGCAAACAGAGAGCAGAGTTTGGGGGTGCGATATGTACGTAGTACAGAGTTCAGTGGTGCGCTGCATACAGAGTGCAGAGTTTGGAGGTGCGACATGTACATAGTGGAGAGTTCAGTGATGCGCTGCATACAGAGTGCAGAGTTTGGAGGTGCGACATGTACATAGTGGAGAGTTCAGTGGTGCGCTGCATACAGAGAGCAGAGTCTGGAGGTTCGGTATGTACATAGTGGAGAGTTCAGTGGTGCGCTGCAAACAGAGAGCAGAGTTTGGGGGTGCGATATGTACGTAGTACAGAGTTCAGTGGTGCGCTGCATACAGAGTGCAGAGTTTGGAGGTGCGACATGTACATAGTGGAGAGTTCAGTGATGCGCTGCATACAGAGTGCAGAGTTTGGAGGTGCGACATGTACATAGTGGAGAGTTCAGTGGTGCGCTGCATACAGAGAGCAGAGTCTGGAGGTTCGGTATGTACATAGTGGAGAGTTCAGTGGTGCGCTGCAAACAGAGAGCAGAGTTTGGGGGTGCGATATGTACGTAGTACAGAGTTCAGTGGTGCGCTGCATACAGAGTGCAGAGTTTGGAGGTGCAACATGTACATAGTGGAGAGTTCAGTGATGCGCTGCATACAGAGTGCAGAGTTTGGGGGTGCGGTATGTACATAGTGCAAGTTTCTGAAGTGCGCTACAGACAGAGTACAGAGTTCAGCCTTCTTCCACAGCTGCTTACCTCTGCATCCCCCACCCACATCTCATTTTCACTCCCTACTTCTCCAGTACCTCCCTGTACACTGTAGGTGGCTCTGCCTCACTCACTTGCAGGGAGATCATTCAGTGGGGGTGTCAGCAGCCACACTGCACTCCAGGCACTGCATCTCCCTTGTCTCCATTCTGATGTCACTTGTAAACACAGAAACCAGACTTTTGTGTTTACAAGTGATAGCGGTGAGCAGGGAGCTGAAAGCCTGAGCCAGAGGTGGGGGAACTGGTGGTGGGAGTCCCACCAAGTTCCAGCTGAAAAAAGCCCTATATATATATATATATAATATGTAAATATTATATATATATATATATATATATATATATATATATATATATATATATATATATATATGTAAATATTTTATATATATATATATATATATATATATATATTGGCCTAGATTTTGTTTCTGAAAAGTACACCAGAAAAAGTGTAAATACATATGAAATTATTAAGAAAAAAAGGAATTAAAAGAAAAAAAAAACTTTTAACCAAGAAATAAACAGTCTTTAATATGCACTGTTCAATTTTCATTCTTTGTTCTCCAAAATCAAGTTCCCCGGTTTTTCTCTTTCCCCTTAATATCTCTTAGATAAATTTGCGCATGTTAAATCCTAAACTAGCAGCAGCACAAAGCGTTGCACACAATGTCGGCTCTCTCTGCTCTGCATCATACATTTTCCCCCTGCATTATGTGTCATGCACCAAAGCAAAGCCTTGTGAATCTCTGTCCGTTTAATCTGTTTTTGTCTTGCAGTATTTTGCATAGCAGGGGTTTTCGTCTCCCCCCCTCACTTCGTATCTGGTATAATTAATTCCAGTGCTTGAAGACAATGTTTTTCTATTTCAAATAGCAGCATTACTTCTGACACAAGAACAGTTTATTGGGGATTAGTGTGTATTGGTTACTAAGGCTGCTTGTGTGTCACTTCTGCCATCTAGTGCCCATTAGCAGTAATAGCAGCATTGTTTCTTCCTCTCCCCCAGCTCTAGTTTATAACAAGCTATTAACAGTGCAATGTGGAAATGCACCTCAAATCACATTCTGTGTACTATAAATGACAAGGAGGGTGACGGGCTGAAAAATAGACGTATAGTTGCTGCACCATTCCAAGCTATGGGGTAGCTATATTAGTGTCGGTATTATGCATAGTAGATGCTAAATATATTACTTCTGTGGTTATAAAAGGCTAATTTGTTTCATTTTGTGAAGAATTTATGTGAATTTGGAATGAATAGCTTTTACGAAATGGCATTGCCAGGTCCAGTTTTGAAAATGTGATGTTTACATGTGTGGGCTTATTAAAGGACCTGGCAACACGAGGTTCCCGTAGAGCTCCTGCAGCCTTGGATCTGCCTTTGCTTACACAGTTTACAGATATAATGGACTTTTTCACCCACTCTCCCTAAAATTTATATGCATGTCTGCATGGAGATGTGCAATTTTCTGTAGCTCCCTCCTACAGAGGCTGTTGGGTAAATTTAGTATGGGGCAGAGGTGCAACTAGTACCTTCAGGGCCCCTGTGCAAGAAACCATTAAGGGCCCCTCCTGTTGATGGGATCAATGGCAGTGGTGGGGAGGAATGGGATCAGTGGCAGTGCTGAGGGGTTAATGTTATCAGTGGCAGTGCTGGGGGGTTAATGTTATCAGTAGCAGTGCTGGAGAGTTGATGGGATCAGTGGAAGTGGGGGGGGGGGTAAATTAATCAGTGGCAGTGCTGGGGGAATGGAATGAGTGGCAGTGGTGGGGGGGAGGGAATGGGATCAGTGGCAGTACTGGGAGGATGGAATCATTGGCAGTGCTGAGGGTGTGATCAGCGACAGTGCTGGGGGGGGGGGAGTGTTGTGATCATAAGCAGTGCTGGGGGGCTGGGATCAGTGGCAGTGGTGGTGAAGGAGGGAATTAGATTGGTGGCAGTACTGGGGGGATGGGATCAGTGGCAGTGCTGTGGTGTGTGTTCACATGCAGTGCTCGAGGGTGTGATCAGTGGCAGTACTGCAGTGATCAGTGGCAGTGCTGGGGGGTTAATGTTATCAGTAGCAGTGCTGGAGAGTTGATGGGATCAGTGGAAATGGGGGGTAAATGAATCAGTGGCAGTGCTGGGGGAATGGAATAAGTGGCAGTGGTGTGGGGGAGGGAATGGGATGAGTGTCAGTACTGGGAGGATGGAATCAGTGGCAGTGCTGAGGGTGTGATCAGTGACAGTGCTGGGGGGGGGGGGAGTGTTGTGATCATAAGCAGTGCTGGGGGATTGATGGGATCAGTGGCAGTGGTGGCGGTGAGGTGGGGGGCTGTAATGGAATCAGTGGCAGTGCTGAGGGGCTGGGATGAGTGGCAGTTGTGTGAGGGAGGGAATTAGATCAGTGGCAGTACTGGGGGGGGATGGGATCAGTGGCAGTGCTGTGGTGTGTGTGTCACATGCAGTGCTCGAGGGTGTGATCAATGGCAGTACTGCAGTGATCAGTGGTAGTTCTGGGGGGTTGATGGGATCAATGGCAGTGGAGGTGGGGGGAGAATGGGATCAGTGTCAGTGCGGGGGGGGTGTGAGTGGCATTGGTGGTGGGGGGAATGGAATCAGTAGCAGTGTTGGGGGGTGATCAATGGCAGTGCTAGGGGGTTGATGGGATCCGTGGCAGTGGTGGGGAAATGGGATGAGTGTCAGTGCTGGGGGGGATGGGTTGAGTGGCAGTGCTGGGGGGATCGGATGACTGGCAGTGCTGAGGGAGATGGGATGAGTGGCAGTGCTGGTGGGAGGATGGGATGAGTGGCAGTGCTTGGGAAGATGGCATCAGTGGCAGCAGTGGTGGTGGTGGAGATTGGGTTCAGTGGCAGTGCTGGGTGCCAGGATCAGTGACACTTACTTGCTATTAGTGTCCACTCCATTCCCCCTACAATGCTTGTTGTCTCTCGGCTCCCTCTTTTACAAGCAATAAATGTAAAAAAAGACAACCTTAGACTGTTTACTGAGCCAGAGTGGATAGATGACCACAGTGTGCCTGACTGTCCTGCAGTGATTACAGAAAGAATCTGTTCTAAAATTCAGAATGTAATCTTGAAGCTTTATTAACAAAACAGGGTGGGGTGAAAACTATGGGAAAAACAGATAAGAAATATATACAATCAATGTATGAAACATATAAAAACGCAATGAAATAACTAGGCTTCAGATAGCAATAAACCTATGCTCATCAGTGATGCTGCCTGTCGGAGATGTGAGTTTAGTCCACAACTTGTGCTGCAAAGATGGCTGGTTTCCTCTTGCTCAGTTTTAAGATGAAGTCTGAGCTCCCAGGATGCACCTGTTTCCTTTTCTTAGAATGAGGGAAGATGGGAGTTCTTATTAAAGTGAAACAGCCTTTGGCTTCTGCAAAACAGTAAATTTATTCTAGTGGCCAAATGTAATATTGCAGGCAGGACAAATTAAATACTAAGCACACACTGTTTAATTTACATTACCCCGTCTCTTTCTGTATGGGGATGATGGCACTATAATTATTTAAAAAATAATTTAAGTACCTAATGGATACCTTTCCTAATGAATATACAGCTGTCACATGACCCAACTCTCTCCCAGGCTGCAGGGAAACATAAGCAGGAGGAGCTTCTAGTCATCTAGTGCTGGTTACATGTTAAAAATAAAAAAACAGCCAGTCACAGGCTGTGTTACACCCCTCTAGCTTGTGTCTTGGAATAAGAGGGAGGTGAAGCAATGATGTCTACATGTAATATCCTCCCCCCCCCCCCCCCATTGTGTTTAGCTGGTTAGTGAGCATGGAGGAGGAGGGAGGGGGCTGTAATTTACCACTGTGAATACACTCACATGTGTGACTCTATAGCTACAAGGGCATCTCAGATGTATTAACCACCTCTCGTCCGGCCGTTGTATATAAACGGCCGGGTGGCAGTGCAGTTCAGGTGGCTGTTTATAAATGGCCTCCCAGCACCCTGCTTGTGCAAGCTTCCTGGGAGCATGCAGCACCGCGTTCCGGTGCCCGCTGTGTCCTCCGATGGAACATCAATCGTTGGACGGGACCTCTGTACGAGGTCCCGATCATGTGATCACTGATTGGCCAATCAGTGATCACATGCAGAGTAGTAAGCAAGATGTCATTTGTGACATCATTGCTTACTACATGTGAAATCTGTGAATGATCACAGAGGTCACATGGTACAAGGCTATTCACAACAGCCTTGTACCATGTGATAAGCTGTGACCAATCACAGCTCACTCAGTAGTTCTCAATGGCTGCAAGAATGTAGCAAGAGAGGAGGCATGATTGCATTTACATTCTTTATGGGTGTAAAAGCAATCCGTGTACAAAAAAAAAAAATCTTCATCACCCCCCACAAGTAGTACAGTGTCACCATGGTGACATTGTACTGCTAGGTTGACAGTATGTAAAAATCAATAAATTAAAAAGTAATATAAAAATGTAAAAAAAAAATGTTTAAAAATTATCATGTTTGGTTATAAACTAATTTGGTTTTTTTTTTTTCTACTAAAAATATAACGGAATAAATTTTGGCCAAGATTTATGATGAAATACTATTTATTTGCAACATTTTATAAGAAAAAAAAACTTTTTTTCAAAATTTTTGGAATTTTTAATTTACATAGCAAAAAAAATAAAAATCCCAGTGGTGAATAAATACCACCAAAATAAAGCTTTATCTGTCTAAAAAAATGCTAAAAATTCATATGGGTACAGTGTTGCATGACCGCGCAATTGTCATTCAAAGTGTGATAGCGCTGAAAGCTGAAAATTGGCCTGGAAAGGAAGGGGGTAAAAGTGTCCGGACTGGAAGTGGTTAAGGAATAAATGCTCAACATAAAAACTCACTGAAAAGTGAGCATATGCAGAGCTGCCACCACTGCTCTGCAAAATCCCTAGCTGAATTGGGGACATGAACAAAAAGGAGGGAGACAGAGAACAGCAGAATCAACCAGGTTTTTTACAGAATACAGAAAACAAATCTCATAGTGATGGAGTGAGTATGAACAGCATGCAATACACCATTTATGATAGTTTTTATTATGTGAATTTAGTGACACTTAAATGAATTTCCCTGCTGAAGCAGAACAGCAAGATCTTGTATTTTCATACTGCTCATGCATGAGGTGAAGCACATGATGCTATGCACCACATCTTACACAGGCGGCATACAAAATTGCACTCATCTTGGAAAAAAAACCCTCCCCTGACGACCCCCCTTCCCCACCCCTCCAAGATATCAGCGTTAGGGTTTATTTTCAACAATTACATGTAATGTCATACGGTGCATGTGCGAGATGAGTGCCCGACGTCATGGTGTCCATCACAGTTATGATGTAGATTTTCATGGAGGCATGGACAAACTATCTTATGTTTTCCAAATGGAATAGGTGGAGGCGTCCCTACACAAGGAACCACGGGTCCAAAAATTCTTTGAGGTTCGGGAATCTGGCATTTAAACCTTGCCCATAGATACTCAACAATCTATACTATGATGTTTTCAATACACCCAGTGGTATCAAAGTAGATTGCTAACCATCGATCCCCCGATTTAACGTATCACTTAAATCAGATTAATGTTCATTATTAATGTTCATCTTTAGACCCAGTACTACTGTTTTTTTTTTTCAACTATTCTAACAAGTTGTTTACTGTATTTTTTAAAATTTGTTTCACTGGACAAATGTTGTGGCCACCCTCATTGTTAATTGCACCTTTGCAATTAAAAGAAAAAAAATCATAGAGGTGAAATTAAAGAAAAAGTCACATGGACATAGGTGTGTATACTTGTATACTTAATGTAACATTTTCATAAATTACTGCCACATTTATAGGGGGGGAGGGTGTCCCTTACAGCGACTGACACTGCTCAGTATTAACAAACCAATGCAAGACTGATGAACATAGAAAGCATCTGTAAATGAATAGTATAAGGTCCTATTCACACTAATGTGTTTTGCTTTTGGGTTGTATGGATTTTTATAAAGCATTTCCATGTGAAAATCAAGTAGAGAACTGCTAATCAGGTATACTGCAACTTTGCTAATGTCGGAAAATAAACTCAACATATATTTAAGTAGAACTAAGAGCAAAATAAATAAAATGGCATATATGAGACAGTCTGTTACTAGCATTAAAACAGGGACAACCTTTAAGAGGTGGAGATCTACCCGAGCCACATTGGAAGAGATCAAAGATCACCATGGTGCAGCACCCTTGCCACCCCCCCCTTTTTTTTTTTTCAGAGAAAAAAAAACTAGCAAGGCACCATCAACCAGTTTCGCACTGCCCTATAGCAGAAATACTGCTACAGGGTGGCTAGGGTGCGCAAAATCACGTATATATGTGATTTTGCAGTTCTGGGTAGGGGTCGTACACACCCTACCCGTGCCGCCATTCGTGGCCTCGGCTGTCAATTGTGGGGTCCCAGCCGGTGCTTACTTGCCGGCACACGGTGATCGACAAGTATCTCCGACGGGGGAGAGACCTGTATGAAAACAACACAGATCTCTCCCCTGTCAGCTCCTGCACACTGCTTTGTATGGCTCTGCAGAGCCATACAAGGCAGTGTGCTTACAGTGAAGCACACACACCGCCCCTATAGTGAACTAGCACACAGTTAACCCTTTGATCGTCCCACATGTCAACCCCATCATGCCCAGTGCCATTAGTACAGTGTCAGTGCTGTTTGTTTACAAACGGTTTTATTGTATAAGAGTAGACTGTAAAACAACAGTACATTTTCAAATGATATTTACAGCAAAAACAAGGCACTTTTGGAAAGTACAATACAGAAAAGTATATTAATGTAAGAAAGAGAAGAAATAGAAAAGAGTAGATTGCAAGTACATGATATACGTAAATGATAAGGTAGGTTGAATGATACATCTGTCAACAGTATTTGCCAGACAACTTTCACTGGGAATGTTATTAATCATGCAATAAATGTCTATAAGTCCTCCATGACTCCCATTTTTTATCAAATAAGTGCATCTTATCCAGTAGGGTATAATGAATACGTTCCATGAGCAGTGTCACTGCTTTTTATTAGCACTGATCACTGTATTGGTGTCACTGGGGATGTCAGTGACACCAAGTCAGTTCCCCCCAGTGTCAGAATGCCCGATGCAGTCCCACAGTCCCACAATAAGTCGCTGATCGCCACCATTACTAGTAAAAAAAAAATTCCAGTATACAGTATATACGGCCATTTGTAAATGCTATAACTTTCACATAAACCAATTAATTTACATGTATTGGGATTTTTTTTTTAGCAAAGACATAGAGCAGAATACATTTTTTATGAAATGTCATTTTTAAAGTTCTTTTACTGGACATGTTTAACAGCAAAAAGTCAAAAATATTGTTTTTTTCTCAAAATTGTCAGTCTTTTTTTATTTATATAAAAAAAAAAATGAAAAACGCAATCAAATACCACCGAAAGAAAGCTCTATTTGTGGGGGGAAAGGGACATAAATTTTCATTTAGGTGCAGCATTGCATGATTGCGCAATTGTCAGTTAAAGTAACACAGGGCCGTATCACAAAAAATGGCCTGGTCAGGAAGGGGGATAAATCTTCTGGAGAGCAAGTGGTTAAAAAGTATGTAATTAGAAATAAGGTCTGCACATCACTATTAACCACTTAATAGCGCAGAAATACTGCTATAGGGCGGCACGGGTGTGCAAAATCATGTATATCATTAAATCAAGCATCATCCTGGTATCGTTTTTTTCAGCCAGTGATTGGCGTTCATGTAAAAGCAATCCTAGTGGCTAATTAGCTGCAGGATTGATTTTACAAGCAGCAGGAGGAGATGCCTCCCCTCCCCCCCACCAGTGCCTTCCCGTGCTATCGGGGGAACCTGAGAATGCAGCCGGTGTTTCTGCCAGCTGACCATAGAGCTGATTGGAGACCGGAGTGGTGCCAATCATCTCTATAGTCTAAGAAATCTGAAGCTAATGAGCATTTCATCACTTCAGTTTCGCAGCATATAAACAGCGCCATTTGTTAATTGGGAAAGCATCTGATCACACCGATTCTGGTTTGATTAGATAATGTAAGGGCAGAGGAGATATCTAGAGTCTGTTAGACCCCAGATTTCTCAAAAAACGAATATATGACAATGCCCATTGAAGGTATAGGGGATATTTGCATTCCCTGTGATAGCATTAAAAGTGATAAAAAAAAAATGAAAAGGGACAGTGTAAAAATAATTTAAAAAATTAAAATAACTTAAAAAAAAAAAGCACCCTCGCCCCCCGGCGTGCAGGAGTGTTGACCCTGTGTCAGTATGTAAACAGCGGTTGCACCATGCATGCGAGGTATCGCCGTAAATGTCAGATCAAGGGCAGTAATTCTAGCACTAGACCTCCTCTGTAGATCTAAAATGGTAGCTTGTAAAGTCTTTTAAAGCGGTGCCTATGGATATTAAAAATGTATGCAGCTTGTCGCCATTGCTCGGGGCATGCACAGTTTTAAAGCATGTCATATTTGGTATCTATTTACTCGGCATACCATCATCTTTTATATTTTACCAAATAATTGGCCAATATATTGTGTTTTTGTGCATTACAAGTAAAAAAGTTCTATTTTTTTTTTTCCAATTTGCATTTGTAAAATTGCTGCACGAGTACTATGTGACATAAAAAAATTGCAGCGCCCACCATTTTATTCACTAGGTTGTCTGCTTTAAAAAATATATAATGTTTGGGGGTTCAAAGTAATTTCCTAGCAAAACATACTGATTTTTTTCATGTGAACAAAAAGTGTCAGAAAAGGCTTGGTCTTCAAGTGGTCAGAAGAGTGAGTGATGTGGGATATAAACTTCTAATGCTGGCCATAGAATGCCCCCACCCCCCAAAACGACCCCTTTTTGGAAAGTAGACACCCCAAATTATTTGATGAGAGGCATGTTGAGTCAATAGAAGAATATTTTTTTATCACAAGTTTTTGGAAAATGACAAAAAAAATATTTTTTTTTACACAAAATTGTCAATTAAATGATTTATTGCTCACACATGCCATTGGTATTTGTGAAATTACTCCCCAAAATACATTTTACTACTTATCCCGAGTATGGGGGTACCACATGTGAGCGACTTTTTGGCAGTCTAGCCAAGTACTGAACCCCAAAATCCAATAAGCACCTTCAGGCTTTTAAAGGGCTTTTTTTCCTCATTACACTTCCTGACTACCTATCACAGTTTCGGAGGCCCTGAAATGCCAGAATAGTACCAAAACCCCCAAATGAACCCTTTTTGGAAAGTAAACACCCCAAGGAATTTGATAAGGAGCATGGTGAGTATTTTGCAGATCTCGTTTATTTCCACAAGTTTTTGGAAAATGAAGAAAGAAAACAAAAACATATTTTTTTTTTTTATATTTCAAAACCTTGTGATAAAAAGTGAGATCTGCAGAATACTCACCATACCTCTTTTTAAATTTCTTGGGGTGTCTACTTTCCAAAATGTGGTTATTTGGGGGGGGGGGTTGCTATCCTGACATTTCAGGGCCTCTGAAACTGTGATAAGTAGTGAGGAAGTGAAATGAGGAAGTTACGCACCTTCAGGATTTCAAAGTGGTCATTGGATTTCAGGCTCCTGTATGTGGCTAGGCTCCCCCAAAAAGTTTCACAAATGTGGTATCCCCATACTCAGTAGAAGTAGCAGAATGTATTTTGGGGTGTAATTCCACATATACCCATGGCTTGTGTGAGCAATATATCATTTAAGCGACAACTTTGTATTAAAAAAAATGTTTTTTGTCATTTTGGACAAACTTGTGGGAAAAAAATAAATCTTCCATGGACTCAATATGCCTCTCAGCAGATTATTTAGGGTATCTACTTTCCAAAAAGGGTTCATTTGGGGTGCTTGTACTGTCCTGGTATTTTAGCACCTCAATAAATGTGATAGGCAGTCAGAAAGTAAAAGCTGTGTAAATTGCATTATCTATACCATAATTTGCAGATGCTATAACTTTCACACAAAGCAATCAATACCACCAAAAGAAATCTCTATTTGTGTGAAAGAAAGGACATAAATTTAATTTATATACAGCATTGCATGACCGCGCAATTGTCAGTTAAACTAGCACAGCGCTGTATAGCAAAAAATGGCATTAATTGCAGTATCCATACCGTAGTTTGTAGATGCTATAACTTTAACACAAAGCAATCAATATTCACTTATTGGGATTTTTACCAAAACACGTAACAGAATACATTTTGGCTTAAATTTATGGCGAAATTTGAGTTTTCTGGATATTTTTTTGGACAGAAATGAGAAAATATTGGGGTTTTTTTTCAAAATTTTCAGTCTTCTTTGTTTATAGCATGAAAAACAAAAAGTGTACAGGTGATCAAATACCACAGAAAGAAAGCTCTATTTGTGTTAAAAAAGGACAGCATTGCATGACTGTGTAATTGTCAGTTAAACTAATGCAGTGCTGTATAGCAAAAAATGGCATAAATTACAGTATCTATACCATGGTTTGTAGACGCTATAACGTTCACACAAAGCAATCAATAGATACTTAGTGGGATTTTTTTTTATCAAAAACATGTAGCAGAATACATTTTGGCCTAAATGTATGACTAACTTTGAGTTTACTATATATTTTTTATAGCTGAAAGTAAAAAAACACAGTTTTTTTTCAAATATTTCGATCTTTTTTCATTTATAGCAAGAAAAATAAAAAGCGTACAGGTGATCAAATACCACCGAAAGACAGTTCTATTTGTGTGAAAAAAGGACATAAAGTTAGTTTGGGTACAAGATTGCATGAATGAGCAACTACCAGTTGAAACAGTGCTGGTCAGTAAGGGGGGTAAATCCTCAGGAGGGCAAGTGTTTAATTACACCATTCAGCAACCAGTAATATATTATTATTTCGGGTGCTTAAACCTCTCCACAGTGAATCAATCTGTTAGTACAATAGTTTTTAATGTATTGAGTAAGCACTCCCAGGGACGGACTGACCATTTGGAAACTCGGGCACTGCCCGAGGGCCCAGGGTCAGTAGGGGGCCCCATGAGATGCCCCTGGTACTTTTTTCATAGACTTTTTTGCGTTTGGGCAAGGACACAGGGGCCCCATGATCCCTTATTGCCCGGGGGGGCCCCATGAGTTGTCAGTCCACCCCTGAGCACACCACATAGCCAAATTGCTTCAGCAATATGTTTGTATGAGGCATATACAGTACATACAATCACCTAGCTGGAACAGACAACCAAATATGTCATCTAACATCAAGCATAATACAACAAAGATGTACACTCTATTGCTGATCACAGCAAAGAACATGCATACATAGAGGAGCAATGAGCTACACTTAAAACGTATAAGAGCTGATGTTTAGAAATATATGCAGGAACACAGTACCCAGAATAGAATAAAAAAGGAAAGCTGAGCCAGACCCTGGTGAAAAGAGAGAGGAGGAGGAATGTCGGATCACGATTTACCCTTTTGATGGCCGCGATCAACAGGTAGATTGCAATTGACAGGTTGCTGACCCCCACATTAAAGTGACTGTAAATTT